GCTGGATTGTAGGAGCGAAGCAAGAGTCACAGCAACTGTGTGGCATCTTTAAATGGCAACGTGGATGCAGAGCCCTGGATGTGCAGATCCCGCCAGCAGGAGATTTTGCTGGTGGCAGTGATTACCCTACCCTGTTTGATGTAGGTGTGCCTGGGAGCAGGGCTGGTGCCAGTATGCCAGGGTCCAGGGTTTCTGGCAGTTCTGCTGGCACCCCCTGCCCACTCCCTTGTTAGCGCTCCGCCTCCCGTGCCCCCTGCTGCACACACTGCCCCACGCCACAGGGGAAAGGGTGTAGGCAAGCTGTCAACGTGGGCAGTGGGGAGGGCTTGTGAACAGACAAGCGGAGGACACACAAGCGGGAGGGAGGGAGGGAGGGAAGGAGGGTGTGAGTCCCTGGTGGTGGGCAGAGGAGGGAAGGTCGTCCCCCCCCCCCCCCCCCCCCCCCCCAACCGGGAACCAGCCCGGCCCCTGGAACCAGCCCTGCCTGGGAGTAAATAAGAGGGTTTTCTGATCTCCTGGGCTAGCAAGTCTGTTCCTTCACTGACTGACTAAATAAAAAACCATCGGTGTCCACCTAAAAATGTATCCTGTGGAAGGTCCCGTGCTTATTTTGTTGCTCTCTCTCTAGTAAAAAAAATCACTTCCTTGCATGGCATTTCGACAGTGTTCCCGGGTGCTTTGTTGTGCTTGTGTCTGGTTTGGCTGCTGCATCGTCGGCATGAAAAGTCACAGCTCCTCCAGGGAAGGCAGAGTCCACAAGTGCGGCTCCCCTTGCGCAGGCTGCCCCCTCGGCTTCCCCACCCTGCAGGCTCCGAACCTGATGCTGCAGATGGCTTGTGTGTGGAGGGGGCTTCTGGAGGCCTCCTCCGGTGGTTCTGGCATCCCTGCTGGCCTCTCCGAGGCAGCCGGGATCTGTGGGGCAGCAGCCACCCCCTGGGAACCCTCCCCTCATCTATGCCGTGTTTCTGAGCCCTTTGTCCTTGTGAGGGCATGTTTTGAGCTCTTGGGTTGTTGTTTTTTAAAGTCCCAGAAACCCTCGGGGCGGCCTTGCCAGCGCAGAAAGAGCTTCGGAGGGCAGCGTGAAGAAGCCAGAGGGAGAGGCCGGCCCTTCTCCTGCCGCCTCTCCCAGAAGGACGAGCAGAAAACCGCCAAGAGCCGGGAGATGAGCTCTGCCCCTCCCCCTCCGCTTTTGGGGAACATTTGGACATAACGGGATCGTGTTCCGTTTCTTGGAAGGAAGAGGAAGCTTGTGCCCTCAGACATGATTTAGCGCCTCCTGCGTCTGCATAGTTCTAGAAATGCTTGGAGGGAAAAAACAATTAGTAAAAATGCCAAGTGAAGATGAGTTATTTGAAGTAACTCAGATAAATATTTAGAGCCCCTCTTCTTAGCTTGTTGGTCACTTTAAGCCGGAGCTTCTGCTTCCAGGCCTTGTTTTATTTATGTCCTGAAAGCTGTCAAAGCTCACCCCTGAGCAGAGGATGAAGGGGGGGGGGGAGAGAGAGAGCATATCCACGGGCTGTCGTTGGCATTGCCCTGAGAAACGAGGCCCATCCTGCCATGGGGGTGGGGAGAGAAGAGGCGTGCTGTGAGAGTGCATGCCACGGCCTAAAACCCCTCCGCTGCAGGTGCCCGGGAATTGCACAGCCTCCGGGTGTCCCCGGGGCCTCAGCGTGGGGTATGAAGGACAGGGTGAGGGTGAAGCGAATGGCAGGACATCCCCAGGCAAGCTGGAAATAGACGACCCCCTTGATTCGGCACCCTCACCCTCAGGTTTTGCTTCTGCCTTGCGAGACCATGGGAGGAAGGAGGCAAGAACCCTGAAATTTCCAGCCAAACCCTGACAGGCGCCCTTCTCAGTAAATGAAGAGCTTGAATTCTCTCTGTGTACAGAGGAGATGGGTTTGGGGCCACTGGCTTGGCCCCCCAGATAGATGACCACGGGGACCCCAGGGGCCTTATAGGTTTCGGTTGGACGCAGCCAGCCTCTTCTCTCAGCCTCACCCACTTCCCTTCCTTCCTGCGGCCTCCATCCCACATGGATCCATGCAGGTCCCCTGATCAGCTCTCAGCCTTTTCAGTGGTCCAAGGAGACCTCCTCCGCTCTTTTTCACCAGTGGAGAAGCTGGCTGGACCCAACCCAGGCCAGTTCATGATCGGCCGACCTCACAGAGCAGGACTTTCCTGCTCCCCCCCCCCACACACACACACATTGCAGACCACTGAGCCCCCTGGCTTTGTCTGGAGGGGGGCAGCGTTGTTAGTGGATCCTCAGGAGTGGCATGGGAGAGGAAGCGGGGGTCTGCACTGAGAGGGGTGAACCTGCAGAAATCACTGCTGCTGCTGCTGCTGCTGCTTCCAAAGACCAAAATGCCCCCGAGTCTTTGGAACTGGGCAGTTGGATATAGAGCTCCCTTCAGAATGTCCCTCCGTGTGGCTCGTGATCCCCTTCCCGCTTTCTGTGAGTAAGCCACGTGCCTTTTGCAACAGAAAACATTTTAACCCATTTCAAACCATGTGCAGCAGATCCCTCTCAGAATCATGTCAGGGCGACAAAAGCACGAGCTGGACCCGAGTTTCTGCAACAGCCCCGGGGAATCCGCGGTGGAGAACGGTTTGTCTCTCTGAGCCCTGGAAGAACCCAGCGGCACAGCCTGGATCGTTCTGAGACTCCAGCAAGGAGCAGGAAGCAGGCAGTACGAAGCCTCCTCCTCCTCATTTCATTTTTATACCACCCATAGTCAAAGATCTCTGTCAGTTTACAACAAGAGTAAAAACAATAAAATACAAATAAAAATAATTTTAAAATAATTTAAGATCCCATAAAAACACTATAAACAATAGATGGGCCCAAAAAGACCTAACCCAAAGTGAAAGAAAAGGGCCTGGCTAATCATGTCCGGCCCCTGCAGAATCAGGGAGCTCCTTAAAGGCCTCTGCAAAGAGGGCTGTCTTAACCTGCAGACTGCAGGAGGGAGGTTGCTCCAAAAATGGGGGGCTGCCACGAAAAGGTCTACCCCCTCATTGTCACCCTCCAAGCCACTCGAAGGTTTGGCACCTGGAGGAAGGATGAGTGTAGTGTCCAGTTAGATTGAGGTTGGGAGAGGTGCTCTGACAGATCTTGTGGTCGCAAGCCAAGTAGGGCTTTATAGGTTAAGACCAACACCTTGGATAGGGACCGGAAGCATACAGGCAGCCAATGCTGGCGAGCCAGAACTGGTCTCATGTGTTCGGACCTCTGGGTCCCAGTTATTAATCCAGCTGCCGCATTCTGCACCAGCTGCAGCTTCTGAACCATCTTCAGCTTCTGAACCATCTTCAGGGCAGCCCCACTTAGAGTGTGTTGTAGTAATCTAGTCTGGAGATTGCCAGAGCATAAAAGACTGAAGCCAGGCCATCCCTGTCCAGATAAGGGCACAACTGGGCCGGTAGAAAGCACGCCGAGCCACCGATGCCACCTGAGCCTCACGTGACAGAGATGGATCAAGGAGCAGCCCCCAAGGTGCGAACCTGCTCCTTCAAAGGGAAGTGCAACCCCGTCTAGAGCAGGTTGAACACCCTCCTTCCAGTCAAAGGAATCACCCACCAACAGCATCGCAGTCTTGTCTGGATTGCATTTCAGTTAGTTAGCTCTCATCCAGTCCATTATCGTAGCCAGACACCAGTCTAGCAGGTCCACAGTCTCACCTGCTGATGATGAAAAGGAGAACTAGAGGTGTGTGTCGTCAGTGTACTGATGGCAATGCACTCCAAAACTCTGGATGACCCCACTCTGCCGTTTCATGTAGATGTTGAATAGCATGGGGGACAGAACAGGCCCATGCTGCAGAATCCATGGAACTGAACCATAGTCCCCAAGACAGCCCTCCAAGTAGGTTAATGGTATCGAAAGACACCAGAGGTCCAGCAGTATCAGCAGGGTCGTATTCCTCCTGTCTCGCTCCCGGCATAGGAGGGCGGCCAAAGGGCAACCGAAGCTGTTCCGTGCTGTTTCCGTGCCACTTCCCACTTTTCCTATTGTCGCCTCCCCTGTCCAGATGTCCCTGTGGATGCTGCAGTAGCTCGCCTCACCCCGATGCAGAGCACGCGCCACCCCCTCCACAGTGCATTGCTCTAAACTGTCAGAAGAGGGGTGGAACGAAGGGATCCGAAGGCAGTTCAGAAGGCAGAGCTGTAAACCCGGCATAGGAGGGCGGCCAAAGGGCAACCGAAGCTGTTCCATGCTGTTTCCATGCCACTTCCCACTTTTCCTATTGTCGCATCCCCTGTCCAGATGTCCCTGTGGATGTTGCAGTAGCTCTCCTCACCCCGATGCAGAGCACGCGCCACCCCCTCCACAGTGCATTGCTCTAAACTGTCAGAAGAGGGGTGGAACGAAGGGATCCGAAGGCAGTTCAGAAGGCAGAGCTGTAAATCACGTGATCCGTGTCATGTAATGGGAGCGGATGGTGCTTTTGTGATGGGGGGACCTGCTTTGGAAGAGGATGGAGGGTCTCGCGTTGCCACCCCCTTGCCAGGGCCTGGCATTCTCCTGGAATTGCAGCTCATCTCTGGACTACTGAGACCAGTTCCCCTGGAAGAAAATGGCAGCTTCAGTGACATGCCAGAGTTTCTAGGCGAAATGGCTCCCCAAATCCCTCCCCTCACAGGCACCACCCCCAAATCTCCAGGAATTTCTGAGGCTGGAGTTGGCTTCCGTTGCAGGATCAGCAAAATGGCAGCAGGGATGCAGGTACCTTTCCCACTCCCTATAAGCCCCCGTTGGCCTTTTGATCTGAGGGAGTTTCACAGTTGAACCTACAAATCCCATTCATTACCGGGCATGTGGCTCTGTGGATCCATGTGGGAAATCAGCACTCAGAATCTGTGGGAAACAAATTAGTTCACAGAAAATTCCATTCTGGAACTGAGTGTTTTGAGCACGTGTGAACATGCACTAGTTCTAATATTCCTGCATTCTGCCTTTCACAGAGCCAAACAATAGAAATAACAATATTCCGGTTCACCGCTTGGCTTTCTGATATGGGGAAAAGAAACATCTTAATTGCTTTGTGAGAGGTACGTGTGCTCAGATCTCTTTCTCATGGTCTGCTTCATGGTTCCCAGTGCTGGCGCCTGCTTGAATGGTTACTGCTTGGCCAGGGCTCCAGGTGGTTAAATGAATTGCATGACCCCTACATGAGCACGCACACACGCACACACACTCTCTCCAGGCACATGGTTGGGTGGCCTTAAATCCTCTTGTATTTGAAGGGTTAAAAAGGTAAAGGTTTCCCTTGCTCGAAAGCCAGTCGAATCCGACTCTAGGGTTGCGGTGCTCATCTCCGTTTCAAAGCCGAAGAGCCAGCGCTGTCCGATGACGTTTCCGTGGTCATGTGGCCGGCATGACTAAACACCAAGGTGCACGGAATGCTGTTCCCTTCCCACCAAAGTGGTACCTATTTATCTACTTGCAATTTCTTGCTTTCGAACTGCTAGGTTGGCAGGAGCTGGAACTAGAGATGGGAGCTCACTCCGTCATGTGGCAACTCGGGTTTCGAACTGCTGAACTACCGACCTTCCACAGCCTGCAGTTCAGCGTCTTAACCACTTGAGCCACCGCAGCTCCGCATTTAAAGGGTTACAGGGGTATAAAAATTCTATTCTTTTTAATCTACAAAGGAGATGCTGAATCGGTTGCACACAGACGCGGTATGGGAGAATTAAGGTGCTGAATATTTCAGACTCTCCATTAAAATATTGTGATGCGTCACTTTGCTTTTGGGCCTCCCAGTTCTGCTGCTTTGAGGCCCTTGAGCTGGAGATGCCAGTCCCTGGAGCAGAGGTCTTGTGCTTGCAGAGCAGAGCTGCATTCTCTAAAAACCTCTGAACTAACCAGGAATGCCTTGACCAAAAGGCCAGGACTCCTGCAAGCCTTGCTTCATGTCTGTCCTGCCCCTGTGGTGTCTCAAGGAGGCCTTTCACTCCTCCGACTGGGGCAGGTGCGTCGGAGTGTTTTTGTGCTCTGTCCATAGTCAATGTTCTGGGCAATAATGCTGGCGCTCGTGCCAAGAGCGGTGCTGAGAAGGAGTCCTGGCCCTTTCAGCCTGACACGTTGATAGCAAAGGGCCATACATGGGTCTGGAATGAGGCTCTCAGGCTCTTGAGTTTCCCCATGCCAAGAAATACAGAGCCAGAATTGGCAGCTTTAGGATGAGTAACGTGCAGTCGCAGCGTAGAGAGTTGCAAATTTTCAAGCACTTTCGACGAATGTTTCAGTAAACGCGGACCGGTCACCTCGGCAACAGAACGGAGCACAAGGGGGGGCCGGTGGCGTCCCTGGGACAAGGCCTGGGAATCTGCGTGCCTGGCTCATGTGAGCGAGGAGAGCCGCCTCCAGAACAGGCACGCTCACTCCCGTGTGGTGGTGGGAGTCAGGCAGCCTGGCCACGAATGGACCTGGCAGAGCTCTTCAGCTTGACTGACCTGGTCCCCTGCCAGAGGCGGGACATTTTTAAGAGACAAGTACAAATCCTTTCCAGGTGGACAGTGGCCGTTGCTAAGCAATGGCCTGTGCCAGTCATCAGGCTGCATTTTAGATTTCATTTATTACATAGATGATTTATGGTATTTACTAAGGTAGGCCCTGCGAGTGCCAGTAAGGAGCCAGGATGGATATGCTCTGCAGATACATACAACCCGAATAGGCAAGGACGGCCGGGGAGCCCAGCTCACTTGCCCTGCAGCCCGCAGGGAACCTGTCCTGTCCCGCGCCCAGCGCCTTCTAGGTATGACCCCTGACGAAGGCTTAAATTGTCTTTATTTAACTCCACGTGCATTCAGAAGATCATTTACTCACAATCAGGCTGATAGCTGGGTAGAAAAGTGACATCTTTGTGATCTAAGTCAATTCTGTGGGCGAGGTGAGAAAGAGATGAGATTCCCCTTCTCCTTCTCCGCGGTAAGGATAGACAAAAGAAGCAGGAAAAGAGCAATAAAACTCCTCTCTTTGCGCCTCTGAGCTCAGGAAATTACCCTAATGAGCCAGTCAGAGGGAAGCTGCTGGGACCCCTGACTGAGGACTACAATTCCCAGGTGCAACTAGCCTTAAAGATACAGCGCAGTTTTGCCAAACGACCTACTGCTGCCCATCGTTAAACGCTGGCTGGAGGCGGCAGAGAACCATTGACAGCAGGGGTCCCCAGCGTGGTTCCCGTGGACACCACGGCCCCCACCAAAGGTCTTTAGGGAGTAGGTGGGAACAGGTGGGGCTTTTGCCATCAAGGCTTCTGATTGGCCACTGGAGATCTGATGGGCTGTGGAGATTTTTCTAAAATGTTGCTTTGGCAGCAGCTGCCCCCAGGCCCCCAGGGTCGGCAATGAAAGTAAACGGCAGGAGCCACCATTTTGTGGCTGGACCCACCTTGCTGTGTCGGAATTGCAAAGGTGCCTGCAGGCTCAAAAAGGTTGGGGGACCCTGGTTTACATCTTGGCACTCGAGTTAAGGTTCGGAACACGAAGGTGACATGAAGAGAATGCTGCACATCTGCTCACATCCCCTTTAATAAGGGACCTGATTTGGTTTTTGCAGAATGTTGGTGCTGCTGCCAGTCACTCTTGTGCCGCAGGTGCTCTGAGAGTATCTGACCCTCCCACAGGGGTGAAGGGCTGAAGATGGGGACCTTCTTAGCACCTGAGCTTCCTAAAGGAAGGTTAGGATAGGAGTGTGATTCCTCAGACCAGAGGACAGCTTCACGTGGTAGAGCCACACTTAAACCATGTGTGGAAGAACTGAACTGTGTGCCACTTCCCTCAGGAAACAGCAGGGCTTCAGCATTACTGCCCGGGGTGTGTGTGTGTGTGTGTGTGTGTGTGTGTGTGTGTGTGTGTGTGTGTAGGCTGGCTGGCTGTCAGGGGCCGAGTGGGACGGGTGGTTCAGACCCCACCACGGGAACAGGCTGAGCTCTGCCAGCAGCGCAGGGCCTGATCTCTTTGCTCCTTGCCACCAGTTGCCCTCAGCACCCCATAGGCCCTGGTGAGTCCTTGGATGGGAGACCACCGAGAAAGAGCAGGGTGGCTACATCGAGGCAGGCAAAGCACCTCTGAAGGTCTCTCGGCTGGAAAACCCTGACGGCACTTTGCACCGCTCCCGAATTTGGCCCTGTGCTACTTCCTCTAGTCATATAGCACATTGGATGGTCCTGGTCTGAGAGGAAATATACCCTGCTAGATTTGAGATCTTTAGTGTGGAGGACCTTGTCACAACGGATTAGAAAGGAATTGGTTTGTTTCTTGGGTTGCCATCTGGCTGGGAGAAAAACGTCCTTAATAGAGCCGTAATGGGGTGTTATTGACCTTCATACCATGTAGAGCTTCAGCTGCCCATTCCCACACACTCTTAAGGCTCTCCTAAAGGGACGGGACATTTTTCTCCCTGTCTCTCTCCATCTCTCCCCCCCCCCTTTTGGTTTCACCTGCGGCCTTATGGCTTCTTTTGTAGCCAAGGTGTACAGCAGAACCAGAACATTTTAAAAATGCACTGCAATGCTTGCAAGAAGCGAGCAGATCCCTTTTTTGCATCTTAGTTTGGAGAATTCCCTCAGCAAGGTTGACTCCCCTCATAAACGAGGGGTGGTCAGAAACGCAGCCTGTGGCGTTTTACAGCAGGCGCCACACCCAGCTCTTCTGGTAGGAAGAGAAACAAACCCCCCCCCCCCCCCCAACTTTTATTAAACACATATGCTGGGAAGCGACTTCCAGGACCTCGCGAGCCAGGCTGATTCTCGCTTGAAAGCTGCAGATTTTCTTCTGAGGTCAGCTGGGCGCTTTGCATGTCCACTTCAACCCCTTCCCAGCCCGTGTGGAGCCCAGAGCCGTCCAGAGGCTAGGAGGGAGCCGCCTTGCCTTCCCATCTCCTCTCAGCCACAGGGCTCACGGAAGGCCCGTGCAGATGGCCTCTGTGTCGGCCATGCCTGTGGCAGCCGTGGAGGCCAGGAAAGCATTTTTTGATCTCTCTATTCCTGACCTTTGGTGTAGACAAGATCCCATCTGCTGAAGAGCCAAAGCGCAGTGACTCGATAGCACAGCCCACACCCTAGGAAACTGGGTATGCATCACACAGGCATCGTGTGGTGTGGATGCGTAAGAGGTTGGGTTCAGTGGCAGGACGGGACCAGAGGGTGTGGCCCTGGTCGCCTTCTGTGTCCCCAGAGCGTCCAGCCGGAGTGACTCTGCACAGGCCTCTTCCTTCTGACCGGGGTGTGTGTGTGTGTGTGTGTGTGTGATGGGCAGCATCAGAGTCGGTCAGCAAATGAAAACGCCTTTTGCTAGAGTGTTGTTGCTAAACATCTCCACAAAAAAAAGAGTTCAGATTTGCCTGGAGCGATTTTTCTTTGGCAAAGCTTTAGCATCCTAGTTGTTATTCTCAGGCCCGACTTATTCTTCTCTTGTTTATTCATTCTGTGCTTATTCATATCGGCTAAACACAGGTCTGAATTCCTTGCAGCTGACCACCTTAGTTGGTTGAGAAAAGGAGAGAAACACAGAGAGAGGTCCAAGAAGTGCTGTGCTGGAGATGCCAATAAGACAACCAAACAAGGTTAAACCTGGGTGCTTTCACACACGCTGAATAATGCACTTTCAGTCCGCTTTCAATCCACTTTGCAACAGGATTTTACTGTGTGAAATGGCAAAATCTACATAGAATCACAGAATCAAAGAGTTGGAAGGGACCTCCAGAGTCCTCTAGTCCAACCCCCTGCACAAGGCAGGAAATTCACAAATGCCTCCCCCTCATGCCCCCCCAGGTACCCCCGCTCTATGCCCAGAAGAGGGCAAATAAAAAACCCTCCAGAATCCCCGGCCAAACTGGCCTGGAGAAAATTGCTTCCTGACCCCAAAGTGGCGATCAGCATTTCCCTGGGCGTGTAAGAAAGGACCACGAGAAGTAAGCACTGAGGTGAACCTTCCTGCCCTCCCTCTCATGATCCACCCAAGTTCACAGAATCAGCATTGCTGTTTGATGGGTCCATCGAGCCTCTGCTTCAAAAACTCCCAAGGAGGAGAGAGCCCACTACCACCTCCCGAGGAAGCCTGTTCCACTGAGGAACTGCTCAAACTGTCAGGAAGTTCTTCCTAATGTTTAGCCAAAAACTCTTGATTTAATTTTTTTTAAGAAAAAGAAAAAAATGAAAACAACTCTGCACCATCCTCTATATGACAGCCCTTCAAATACTTGAAGATGGGGATCATTAGAAATGATCACTAAAGGGCATTGAAAGCGGATTGAAAGTGCGCCATTCAACATGGTTGAAAGCAAAGCTGGGCAGGGATTGTCTTGTTTCTCTTCTGTGTTCTGTACAGTTCCTTGTCCAAGGTAATGCTAAGCCGTGGCCAAGGAAACCTGCACTACCACACTTTACAGGTGGACATAAAGAGGCAACCTGAGAAATCCAGGCTTGAAAGCCAAACGTGGCCACACAGGCGCCTCCCCAGAAGTTAACCTTTTGTATCCTGCTAGCAAACACACCTGCCCAAATAAACACAGGCGGCTTTATGCTCGAAAGAGCTGCCTGGTTGGGTCACAAAGTGAAATAGTAATGAATGCTGCCAAAACAGCGGAACAATCTGGAGACTGGGCCAGGCCTTGAAAACTGACTTCATTGATGGTTGAAGACAATGACCCAGTCATCCTTCGCCGTCTGTAGACATGCAGACCGTTACACGGGCACTTAGGAGACAGTGAAGATTCTCCTCGTATGGCTTGATTCTCCTCACCCAAGTTCTTGTCAAGCTTTTCTGGCTTTGTGGGCTGCATAAGACTGGAGTTTGGCCCCCAGTCACCTGCTGGGAAGGGGTGTGGCCCAGAGATACACTAGAGAATCCAGAGCATCCAAGGAGGAAGCAGAGGCGAGCTCAGCTGCTTGGAGATGGAGGGTGGGGTGTGTGTGCAGAGGCTGTCATGAGCTACGCACGTCCCCGGAATCAGAGGCTGAGGAGCACAGGCTTGGGCTACCCAGAAAGGAAGGAGGGAGGGAGGGAGGAAGGAGGACATGGGTATCCTAAAACTACCTCCAGGGTAAGGGGTTGGTGGGACCAAGAGCCCTGAGGTGGAGGGCAAGGCGAGTGCCCCTCCCACATTGTCATGGCCTCAGTTGACTTCCAGGGATTCATGATGATACTTCTGCAAATGCCTGTCTGGGCGTCCTGTCGAGTGACCCTCCTGTCGGGTTGCCAGCCGCCGAGATCCGGAATGGCCATTGACCTCCGGAGGACAGCGATCCGTTGCCCTGGAGAAGAGGGCTGATTCGGGGGAGGGGTGCTCTGGAGCGTCGAGGGAGTGCCAGCCGCTGGGTAGGGCCTGGCGATCTCCTGGAATCACGAGTGGTCTCCAGATTACAGGGATCAGTTCTCCTGGAATGTTTCTTCCCAGTCCGTTATAAGCAGGATGATATCATATCTGTGTTTTCCTGAGCTCATGAGCAGCAGAGCCCGATGCGTGTCCTGCACGTTGATGGAGTGCGCCTCCGGCTTTTGCATTGCCCTTCTTTCGCTGGACTTTCAAGGCGACAGAAACCCCAAAGTGGGTCTGGCGCAGCTGGGGAGACCGGCCTGCAGCAACTGACTCCGCCTCGGGCAGCCGGTGTGGGTACGGTTGTGAATCGCGTTCCGGTCCTCATTAAAGCCGCAGCAAATGGCATCTTTTGACAGGAAC